ACCTCTTTCCCTTGCCAGAGCGAGATGTCAGCACCTGCTCCACTGTGCCCAGACCCTTCCCTCCGGCAGGGGTGCCAGGGGCTGGGCAGCAAATGAAGAGCTGAGCCTGGGGGCATGAGGAGAACCCAGGTGTCCGGCTCCAAAGCCTCCATCTCTGAACCCCCCACCACACCTTTCTCCCTTCTCAGAGTAGGGGGAGAGCCCAGGTGTCCGGGCCCCCTGCATCCCCTGCTCTAAACCTTGAGACCCCGCTTCCTTCCCAGAGCACGGCGAGAGTCGCAGAAAACCAAGGAACCCAAGTGCCCCTGCCCAGGGGATTTGCCCAGTGCCTGATGCGGCCCCCTGATCCCAGCTGGGCTGTGCAGGGAGAGCGGGGGCCTCCCCTTAACTCTCCCACTGCCTTGCTCCCACCTCCAGGAGCAAAGGGGCCTGAGACCCCTGACCCGGGTGGGGGCAGCGCGGGAAGGACAGTGGTCAGTTCTGCCCAGCCAGAAATCTCAGAGGCCGGGAGAGGAACCCAGGAGTCCTGGCAATGGCTCCCTTGTTCCCCACACCAGGATCTGGGAGGAGGACCCAGGCGTCCGGGCTCCGTGCCCCGCTAATCAACCAGCCCCCCACTCTCCTCTCAGAGCTGGAGGGAACTCATGATGGCGGGGGTGGCCCAGAGGACGGGCAGCATTGGGGGCACCTGACAGGACTCTGCCCCTCATTAAAGTCCCCGTGTGTCCTCTCGCCCCCTTCGTGGGGCACGGGGGTCACTTCACACTCACCCACTTACCCACCCAAAATGGGGTCCCCTCAGGCATATCAGCTCCTGAGGTAATGAGACACCCATGGAGCATGCGTGTGCACACACCCGCACACACCCTCACACAGAACCCAGGCATCCGGGTCACACCCGCCCCCCCAGGCATCTGGGTCACACACATGCTCACGTGGACATGCACACACTTGTGCACACATGTGCATGCACACACACACACAACCCAAGCATCCAGGTCATACACAAACACACACAACCCAAGCATCCAGGTCATACACAAACACACACAGACCCCAAGCATCTGGGTCTCTCACACACACCACACAACACACACACAGATCCCAGGCATCCAGGTCACACACAAACATGCACACACACACACACACACACAGAGTCCAGGACACCCCCCCCCATACAGCCCCCAGGCGTCCAGCGCACGGGGACACACACACACACACACACACACAGAACCCAGGCATCTGGGTCACACACACACACACACACACACACACACACACACACACACAATATCCAGGTGTCCAACACACACACACATATATTTGGAGACCACAGAG